AATATATATATATATATATATATATACAAACACACACACACACACATATATATATATATATATATATATATATATTTTCCAATATATATATATATATATATATATATATTAGTGGTCAATATATATATATATATATATATATATATAAATTTCAAGAGGATAAAATCCAGGTAGAGCTCAATGTCCAGGACAGAGTAAGAATATAATATAAAAGGCTTAAGCACTAATATTCCATGGTTATAATTTACAGTGTAACCCGGATATAAGAGACCCGAATATAAGATAAACCCGGATATAAGAGAAACCCGGATATAAGAGAAACCCGGATATAAGAGAGATTTTCTCTGGTCCCAAATTAGAGCCCATACTTACCTAAACAAAATAGACCAAACCTGGATATAAGAGAAACCCGGATATAAGAGACTTCTTCTCCGGTCCCGACAACCCTTTTACATCCGGGTTACACTGTATTACATTGGAATCGTAATCACGATCCAATTTATCAAACCTACAAATTAAAAAACATATCGGAAAATATCTATCTATCTATCTATCTATCTATCTATATATATATATATATATATATATATATATATATATTGTGTGTGTGTGTGTGTGTGTAAAATTCAAATATAACTAAAATATATCTGTAATAGGGCAACAGGAATAAAGACGAAATGAAAACTTATTTTACTCGATGCGTTTCGTTCGCTTATGTAAGGAGTTTATTTTCCAAAATGTTTTTTCAATATGTATTCAGCAGTAATAAAAATGTCTGTATTTTTTCTGAATTTAAAAAATTAAGAACGCCAATAAAATTACTTTAGACTAACGGAAAGTAAAGATAAATCATGGAGCTTGCTAAGTAATGTAATTATTCGTCTAATAAGCGACAAAGAGGAGGACAATAATCTGAATAATGTAAATAATGTACATAATACCTCATCTCAGAAATACAGACAGATATTGATCAGTGTTGCTAATCATTATATTAAAATCGGATAGCATTCTTACGTCCTCTATCTAATACGTATGCTCCTCATTTAGCGTTTTACAGAACAAAGTAACAGATATTTGCGCAGTCACAGCTTATATCTACGAGCGCTTGCTTTTAAACAGAAAAAAAATACGTTTTATACAATGGCGCCTTTTAACCGCTGAAAAATATTGTATTTTTTCTTTTTAACCGCTAAACGATGCCAGATATGTTCTCTTAACTTAATGTGATTTTGAACTACAATATGATTTACCAACAGGTAACGCATATGAGTTGACTACATATAGGGAAGAGCTAAAACCTGTAACCAGTGGTGGAATTCAAACATTTTAGGAACAGGATCATAATTTCCATCCAATTTTTTTGTCTATGGAATTCGGAACCGGTTCTGGCTACATTTTTTTAATTAATCGTTTTTCTATTCGTAAATGTTTTTGTCGACGGATATAGTTATTTTCCAAGCCTAGCTTAGATGTGGCACAAGGCCGAAAGTATAGGGTAGCCAGTGAGGATCGAACTCACTACTAAGTCGCACTTTCTTTACGTCAATAAGTGCAGCATTCTTTAGATCGAAGTTATAATTGAACTTGAACTATGCCACTTAGCACCCTCGACAATTTCCCTCGACTTTCACTTAGCTTGAATTATATTTAAGAGCTGGCCAGTATTCACATTCCTGTCTTGAAAGAGTCCAAAAGCGTCTCCGCGTCCTTGTGGGTGATGAATTACCTTCTTCCCTACAATCCCTTTCTCAGAGACGAAACGCCGCAAGTTTTTCGCTGCTCTATCCATGGAAAGCGTTCAGACAAACAACATTTCTTAGTTCTACCTGGTCTAACCTTCAGAGTTAAGATTCAGCACGCCACGCCCATCGTAGCGAACCACCCCAATTCTCTTCGTATTCCGTTGGTGAGATGTAAACTCCACTCGAGAATCTTCTTCTCACGAACGGCTACTTTGTGTAACCGACTCCCAAGAGGATGCTTTCTCGATCACTACAATCTTGGCCAGTTCATGCCTAGTATCACCCGTCATTTTCTCGACATACCCCAGTAACCTTCTACCTCGAGTGGGTCTTGGGCCTTGTATTGAGTGAAAAAGAGTGTGTATATATATATATATATATATATATATATATATATATATATATATATATATATATATGAGCGTGTGCACATATGTAGAAAATAGGAAAGAACACGTTAGGTAAATAATCCGGAGGTTTTCGGTTCTCGTTTTTGAAACATGAGAACTCTTATGTAGCGAAGGAATCGTATTTTTTATATATATATATATATATATATATATATATATATATAGCCGAGTGGTTAGAACGTTGCCGTATAAACCATAGAGCAGGAGACTGCACTAATAGACGGGTATCCTCGAATACGCGTGACCAGCTATATATATATATATATATATATATATATATATATATATATATATATATATATATATCTAAAAGTGGACACAGAGCTCAACATCAAGCGACCTATTTTATGCTTCAGCGCAATCATAAGGTCATGACCATGAAGCATAAAACAGAAGTGGTGGGTAATAAATGGTGCGTCTACTCGAATATAGGTATCCACTAAATAACATTTAATATATATATATATATATATATATATATATATATATATATTAGATAGATAGATAGATAGATAGATATGGTGAGGCAGACAGGACGGATGAAAGTGTAAGCCATTTAAAAAAAAAACTTCCGTCCTCTCTGCAATGGATAAATTGTCGTCTAAATTACTAAATGAAAATAACGCTGACATCTCACATTAACATATATTTACCAAAATCACAAAAAATATCTTGAAATACTAAAGAGTAAATTTATTCATTAAAATTGCTATTGGCTTTAACCCTGGTCTCCAGACGACTTCGGAATCTCCTGCACCTCTTCTGGACGGTCTCCTTGTTTAAGTAGGTGAATGCTGCCACAATGCATGGCTTCATCATAAGTCTTACAAGGAATTTTATAGGGTCTTTCACTCAACTGAGCCTCACATATCATATTCAAGGGGATTGCAGTCTGGGAAGTTAAGGGTAAGTTGTTATGTGGTAGCAGAAATTGTCTGACAGCCATGACTGGGTTCTCCTACTTGTACGGCATACTGCAGATTCCTGCTGCCAAACATAGGGTCTTCCAGCAGACACCTACTTGACTAAGAGCAACACTACCCAGTAATGTAAGCCTCCGTATTGAGTCTGAGATCCTGTGGAAAGATGAATGGAGGCATAACGTCGCCATCACTAGTGATCACACCAAACACCTTCGTAATCACCATTAGACTCGTCCAACTCTTTCCGTACTGTCCTCAAATTGGCGCACAAACAGTCTGGAAAGTTCGTATTGGACCTTCTGGCGCGAATGCCAAGCAGTACAGCATTCCGTTTGCAAGTTTCTGGCGAAGTGAATTTCTTCATGCTGCACTTTTTCTCACAGATGATGCCCAACTGCCACTGCTAAACTGTAGAGTCGATAAAATCAAAAGAAACAACACTCAAGCGCGAAAATTAAAATATAAAAGGGTGACAATTTACCCATCGCGCCCTGCATGTGTGGGGTTTTGTGTGTGTGTGTGTGTGTGTGTTGTGCGTGTATGTATACGCGATAACTTGTCACACCGAATGTAATGTCTCCTAGTTTATTATGCTGACCAAAGATGTGCGTGTGTGTGTGTGTGGCGGAATATATATATATATATATATATATATATATATATATATATATATAAAGAAGAGAGAAACCGCAAACGTTTTTGGTTGTAAAGTGGATTTTTCATATATTATGCTTTATTTCCCATAATTAAGAAAAATAAAGTATAATATATATATATATATATATATATATATATATATATATTTTAAATCCACATTCCAACCAAAAACTTTTTGCGGTTTCTCTCTTTTTTAATATATACACTTTTCCCTCTTTGGAACAACTGTAACATCTTCCCTATCTATCTATCTATATATCTATATATCTATATATATATATATATATATATATATATATATATATATATATGTATATAATTACCAACAAAATTCTTTAAATGCCTTCATTTTTCCTGTTTCAACAAGAAGATGAAAACAGAAATTCAGCTTGGATCCATGTTCATAATAATCACTCATAGACTGAGAAAAACGATGCCATTTTAAACATAATTTGATAGTGTAAGATTTTATCTATTTTAGGCTTGATGGCGCCCCCTACACCCAACGGAAAACAACCAAAAACGGTTGTCCCTCCGCGAAAATGAAAAGATTCTATGCTGAAGATCGTCAAGAAGTTGAATGAAAATAAAGTGGATATTCCATTGGCGGTCATTCACTTTATATATTCACAGAATTTTCTTTCAGAATCACGTAAAGGGATCAGCAGCCAGGAAAATTGGTTGTGGAACCTAAAAAGTCTTCAATTCAACAACAAAAAAAAAAAAATAGTCAAAATGGCTTCTACTGCAAGAACCTGAAAATCACTTTTATGTCTAAGAATTTTAAGTTCAGTAAATAAAACGTCCCAGGCAATCAAGTTTCTCAAACAAGATAGCAGTGGTTCTTAAACTTTTCTTCTCCAAGACCACCTTTCAGATATATGTGCAGGTTTGGCACACTCTGTATTAAAAGTGAACTGATAACTGGAACTGATATAAAAGCAATACGCTCAATGTCACATGTTTTACCATTTTCTATAAATCAGCAGAAATTGTAGCAGGAACATTTACTGATTCGTTTTCTACGTCTTATCAACCCTTTGCAAAGTCAGAAAAAAATTTATTGTAAGAACTTTTTAGAAAATAATAATGGTTTAGTGATACAAGTCTTGCTAATTAACCCTTAGCTGGGGGAGGAGCAGTGGATTCCAACATCCCCCAAGGGTATTTGCGCGTAAATGAATATAACGAACCCAACAGGAATCGAAACTCAACTATCCGATTTCCAATTCCGAGTCATTATCCATTACACCACCCGCACATCTAAGCTTACAACACCTGATAGTCCCAAGTGGTCACCCGTCTAGGTAACTGACCAGGCTCGACGCTGCTTATCTTCGGTGATCGTACAGGAACCTGTGTTTCAACGTGATATGGCCGTAAGCCCTGTAGCAGGAACTGCCTAACGGAAGACCAGACTTGCAGTTTTTTGCTCTGTAAACTCTCACCATTCCATGAAAATCAACACCTCACAACTCAATTTGACTTTCGCTTTGGTCATCGGTGTAATGTTGCCATATACGCCATCAAACAACTCTGAGGAACTGCACATCGCTGAAGATTGTATGAAAGCCATGTTGACGTCACAGCTGCATCTGACCACATTAATGGAGGCATCCTCTCCTCATCCATTATTAATCGTCTTCAACACTTTGACTCACCTGAATGTACGTCTGATAGATGGGCTACGTGGAGACGCCCAAGACTGAAACATTACAAACCTCATCAGGAGCATGACAAGGAGGAAACGAGAGCCTTGATTTATTTAACATCTTTCTCAACTATGCTCTGCCCATATACACGCACAGATGTGAAGAGATGGGCACTTATGCTTTAAGTCAGGGGTGTCCAACATTTTGATTCCATGCGCCAATATTTGGTACGATTAATTTAAATGCGCCACCCAAACATTCACTTCCTTTCAGTACGTGTTGTAATATGGACATATTTTAAAGTTATAATAAAATCTATTTATTTGAAAAAATATATGCTTATTCTTACCTTAATTTCACGAAATCCAGACCCAAACGCTCTCTCCAATACAGTAATAAAGAATGACATTTTAGAACACAATCCATTCTACCAGTTAGTTAAGCACTCAGTCAATCAAAAGGACAACGTCAGCATTTTTAACAAAAAGAAATGGTGACAAACACAAATCAAACTTTTAGCACTTTTGCAAAGGACGTGCAATAAATATAAAATCACTGAAATGAATGAGTAGACGTGGCTTAGTTTCTTTTCATCAAAAGGATGCAATGCGCCACTTGTAAGAATCCAATGCGCCACTTATGGCGCATGCGCCACAGGTTGGCAATCCTTGTAAGTACTACATGCTACATCCCAAATGAGTCTACAAATAGAAAATAGCATTCCTCCTCTCCCTCCCAATGATACTGATGATGAGCAGGTATGTTCTATGCTACTGATTTATGTTATCATAGTTGAGATAAGAATGATCTTGAACAAAAAACAAAAAGACAGTATCAACATTCTCTCCTACGTATCCCAAGAAATCAGAGTCAAAGTAAACGTTTCCAAAGCAGAAACTATGATCTGGAATTGGAATGAAAGCAGCATATGACTCCATTAATAGAAATTTCCTCTCCTCATCCATTAGTAATTGTCTTCCAAGATTTGACTCAATTGAATGTATACATCAGATAGAAGGACTATGTGGGTTCACAAAATTGTACATCTGTATATGTAAACATTTTAAACTATATCAGGATTATGACAAAGAGAAAACGAGAGACCTCATCTATTTAATCTCTCCCTCAACTATGTCCTGCACATATACAAACACAAATGTGAAACGATGGGAACTGATGCTTTAAGTATTCCATATTCAAATGTCAAATGAATTTACAAATAATTAGTATTCTTGCTTTCCCTCCAAGGATAGTGCACTCATGATATGTGTGTGTGTGTTGCTATGGTGATGACATATGTATTCATAGTTGGAATAAAAATGATCTTGAAAAAAAAATCAACATTCTCTCCTAAGTATTCGAAGAAATTGGAGCCAATATATGTTATCATAGTTGGGGTAAGAATGATCTTGAACAAAAAACAAAACAAAAAAACAGTATCAACATTCTCTCCTACATATCCCATCAGAGTCAAAGTAAGCGTTTCCAAAGCAGAAACTATGATCTGGAATTGGAATGAAAGCAGTATATGACTCCATTAATAGAAATTTTCTCTCCTCATCCAATAGTAATTGTCTTCCAAGATTTGACTCAATTGAATGTATATATCAGAGACAGGGACTATGTGGGTTCACAAAATTGTACATCTGCATACGAAAACATTTTAAACTATATCAGGATTATGACAAAAAGAAAATGAGAGACCTAATCTATTTAATCTCTCCCTCGACTATGTCCTTCACATATCAGTCAGTTACGTGCCATGTGTGATACACGCTGAGGCGATCATGTATCTTTCGATACATGACTGACGAGGCAGATTTTTCCCGCAGTAGGTTATCATTTCTTTTTGCGGTAGGCCAGAACCCCGGTCCGGCTATTTTACCCATAGCTGGGGGTGGGGAGAAGAAGAAGAGGATTCATACTTTCCCAAGGGTATTGGATTTGACTGGAATTCGAACTCGGCTCTCAGATTCCTCAATCCGAGCCGCTATCCATTCATCCACCGTGCCTCCTGAACATATGCCAGAACAAATGTGAAGACATGGAAATTGATCCTTCAAGCATTCCTTAGAAAAGAAAACAACAATCTCCAGACGTGTTTTGTGACAGAAACTGCAAATCGGAAGTTACCAGGATAGACTATAGAACCTGCCGGACTTTGTTTTGTGTGCTTTTGTTCTATAGCCATATGTTAACTGCAGATAAATTTTTTAAATACGTCTAAAAATGTAAATATATCGAAAAATTTAAAAAATTCCCCTTTTGTGACCTGTTCCAATAAGAGTTCAAAGAGTTAAGTCATCTTACTACCCTACTGAATTGATAGCGTCTCCCCTACCACCATTGTGGACACTTCCTGCCCCCCTTCAGAGTTCATAGCGCCGCCAAGGGGGCGTTACCGCCCACACTATGTATCAATAGTTTTTAGGATGAAGTTTTATGATTTAGATTAAAAGAGGATATTTTCATGCATCCTTTTACAGAATATTAACTTTTATTTATTGTGGAACAGGAAAGATAGGCGGACAGAAAAATTAGTCTCAGGTTAATCGTGCTAATCAAATGAGGCATTATGGAAGGTTCACTGTCAATGATTTGGGACAAACACAGACGGACGCCCCCTCAGATATATATATATATATATATATATCGCTTACGGTGTGAAAGTGATATATAAATTGCAGTGCAGATTTCTAAGTAAAATATCCATCGATTTATATTTCTATCTTTGCATTTACTTCATACTCAAACACACACACACACACACACACACACACACACACACACACACACACATATATATATATATATATATATATATATATATATATATATATATATATACATATATATATATCAGTAAACGTTATTTTTAGTGATGACGCATATATATATGTAGGTATCTCCTATGATATATAAATAAATGTATACATGCACACACACACAGAGACACACACACAGACACAAACACACACACACATGTATGTATATATATATATATATATGTGTGTGTGTGTGTATGTATGTATATGTGTGTGTATTGACCATTGTTACTCGCATAGATAGATAGATAGATAGATAGATAGATAGATAGATAGATAGATAGATAGATAATATTAGTGGTAAATATACACATTCATATGCAATCATATATCTAAAATATATAGATATATATACATATATTACATACGTATACATATATATTTGTATAAAAAATAATTCCAAGAGGATAGAATCCAGGTAGAACTCAATGCCCATTTTGAATTTGTAGGTCTGATGAATTGGATCGTATTTAGGATTCCAGTGGAATAAATTATGACCATGGAATATTAGTGTTTAAGCCTTTTATTACATACATACATACATATATATATATATATATATATATATATATATATATATATATATATATATATATATATATATATATATATCGATTTTTACATCTATATATCGAATCATTTCCGTTTCACACAGGCACACACACACACACATATATATATATATATAGCTTGTCGAAAGAAATGTTGATACCATTTGGTCAGATTATATTAAATTAATATTGATGACCACAATTCGTATTACCAGATCTTAAATATGACCTTTCAATTTATTATCATAGAGATCACATGCATTGAAATATTACTTATCTTATGAAAAGTCTTACCTATTTTCACTATGACATTTTTTCCAATGGAACAAAAAAAAACTATGTTATGATTCCATTTCCTGATTTTCCACTCACCAAATTGTAAGGGTTAACGAGTTCCCCACGTAGAGCATCAGTGCGGTCCATAGTGTTCGATCCTCTCTGCATGCCCATGCATGACACAAACTTGAACACCCACGTAAACTAAACCCGACACCTACCCGCACCACAATGAACACACATACACGTGCCTCAGGCGTCCGAAATTAATGACTGAAATGTTTGCCTTTGTCTTCTTCTTCTTCTTCGTCTTCTTCTTCTTCTTCTTCTTCTTATTATTATTATTATTATTATTATTATTATTATTTTCACTTGTTTGATAAAATAAAACGCAAATGATAAATAAAGAGAGAAAAACTGTTAGATTAGCGATAGCGTCTCAGTACAATGTTAACGGCCGGAACAAAATAAGTGATTAGCGGCCTCTTTTATCTCACCGACCACATAAGTATCGGTGATACCCTAATGAAGGTGGTCAGAATTAACTCGTGGGTACAGGATTGGCCCCCTTGGCAATCTTGGCTCGTAATGAAAGGTATAAAAAAAAGCTTTCATCTGACCGGCACGAACTGAATAAAACCGGTTGATAAGTGTTTAGAATGTGGAGGAGCGATCATGCCGACTTTTGAGCCGGACTCAACCTTCAAAGAAAAGCATGATTTGTTTTGTATTTAAATGCTGGTCTAAAAAAAAAAAAAAAAGAAAAAAAAAGAAAAGAAAAAGTAACAATACATACACACACGCAAACACACACACACGTGTGTGTGTGTGTGTGTGCTAAACAAGGCAGACAAGGTACTTATGTGAAGTTATATATAAAGTTTTATATATATTAGAAAGACCCGTGAAAATTTCACGGTTTTCCTATATGAATATTCTGATGAATCTTAATTCTTCAGTTAATGAATGAAGCTCATGGCGAGTGCTTTGACAATATCATAGAAATTCCTCCCTCATATCGTTAAATATTTGAGCTTGACAACATTAACAAAATATTGCAATAACAATTATAAATATGA